GCGCTTGAGCGTGCTGGCCTTGTTCAAATTGTTGATTGCGCTAGAAAACACAGTCTCTCTAAGGTCTGCTCAACATACTTGCATTATAAACTACAGGTTGGCTCTGTGGGTGTTAAGCAAACACAAATGTGTCTTAGCGAGCGTCTGCAATAAGGATTGGCTAGCTGCCCTAGTAGACGGGTATTCTCGAATTCGAGTGGCCAGCTATTACATTATATATATATATATATATATATATATATATATATATATGTGTGTGTGTGTGTGTGTGTGTATGTATGTGTGTGTTTGTGTATGCATATATATGCATACAGACATATATATATATATATATATATATATATAAAATATATATATATATATATATATATGCAATTTTTTTATATATATTATTTATATATTATATATGCGTGATACTTATTGGAAAGCGCTCAGTATCAGTGATAGAGCTAACATATTTAGTTGGATTGATGTGAGTTTTTGACTCTGGTTTCACGCTATTCGCGATCGTCAGAAAAATGATTAATTTTAAAATTTTGGATTTATATATGGTTGCGTATATCCGTGATTTTATGGAAGTGGTAGGAAAAATTCTCTTCAGAACGCCACTCATACTTACGCAAACATACAGGCACGCACGTACACACAATGACATACGCAGACACGCACACACGCTCACTCACCGGACCTCACACAAACATAAACATGTGAACAGTGTGGGACTGAGCATATATGCGCATCAATGTGTTGTTGCGCACGTTCGTACGCATTTGGTCGCTGTATTCAATGTTGGATTGTGTAGCGAATATTTTTGTTAGTTGCGCTGTCAACGTGCAGATTGTTTTTCTATTTTGTTTGCTGAATAATGTTTTCTTGCACGCACGTATATACGTATGATGGGGTCTGTATAAGACTATGATAGCTAAAAATTGCAATTATTTTAAATTTTCTTATGCTGTTTTATTATTATTTTAAAGCCTGTTATTTGGTTGTTTTTGGCGATTGGGGATATGTAAATGGTAGAAATTCCAATTTGTAATACTTATTACCATTTATGCGGTAGTAATAATTTTTCGGAAGAAGGGAGAACTAAGTACAATTGTGGACTGATACGGTAATGGTAATTATGGACTAATATGGCAATGGTAATTGTGATGCGGTAGTAATGGTGGGGTGATGATAATAACAACTATAGCAACAAATGGTTATTGTAAAGTGGTAGAAGAGATCGTAATAATGGTGGTGGTATGATAATAACAATAATTGTAATTATTATGATGATAGTTTGAACTAGAAAATAAATGATGGTGTTATCTGACGATCGCAAATAGCGTAAAATCAGCATCAAGAACTCACATCAATCCAACTATATATATATATATATATATTCTACATATAACGTGTGTGATAACGCATGAGATACCTTGCCATCGTCAGCCACCAATCCAAGGGGTAAAACAGTTTCGCCAGCTTGGTCGTACCGCACCCCCCTCCACCGTCTGACACTACCGGCAACTTCTGCCACTGAGCAGGCTATTGTTTTTTTCTTCTTGTGCATACTTGTCAGTCTATTTTATATATATATATATATATATATATATATATATATATATATATATATATATATATATGTGTGTGTGTGTGTGTGTGTATGTGTGTGTGGAGAGAGATAGATAGAGAGAGAAAGTGAGAGAGCGATAAGTAAATAGATAACAATATCTTAATCCAAATTTAACCTTATCTGTCTTACCGAGAAGTACTTGAAATTCAGAAGTATAACCCAACATAATTGTGTATTTAAATTTATTTTTGGCTCAAACTGGATCAACCATATAACAGTCCGGAATATGAATTCGAAAAGTACTTCTGCACGGAGGATTTAAAAATAACGCGCGAAAATCCAGCATCTGCACATATACACATATTAAGATACACAAACACACACACACACACACACACACACACACACACACACAGACTTATACGCAGAAGCATCCACAGACACAAACACACACACACTCATACACAGAAGCATCCACAGACACATAGACATATACACACACAGCGATTTAATAAGCGTAGTATAGATTTGGCCCAAATAGATTTATTGAACGCATACACACAAACTCACAAAGACAGATACATATAGACACAGACTTTTTCCTAAAGTAACGGATATTTCATTTATTAATCCGACATTTTTTTTCATTTTAAGCCTTATACTGGATTTGAGTAGAGGCTCCATTTACTTATTAAAGAGTATATTCATCAATTTTCGTTTAGCAGCCTGAAACTTCTTTATAAGATATCTGGAATATTCAGACCGGTAGACGAAAATAAATAAATATACTGTTTAATATATAAGCAGAGTGTCTACTCAAATATGAGTATCCACTACAAGTTTAATATAGTTTTAATTTATGCCATATTTATGGATAAAAGTTCTCAATATCTCGTTGTATATTTAAATGTAAAACCAGTATGTTTCATACTTGAACTCAAACTTCAGGCCATTACTATGACTATTATTATATACCGGTCAATGGGTCATTATTAGTAATATGGTCTATTGCTTATGCTAACAATCTTTGGGTAGGTGGCAAATGTTATGATTCAGATAAAATAAAGGATATGGAAAAGAATTTTGAAATTTCCAGGGCAGATGATGAGAAAAGAAGTCTTGGAAAATTTGACAGTATATACTGGAGGCAGGTTGGGTGTGCAGAGGAAAACAACGCATAACCAACCTAGCGAAGCTGAGTAAATGGGTAAAATTAATGAAGAGCTACAATGGATAAGAAATTGCAGCGAAGTGGTATTGCCAATCTCCTGAAGGGACATGACACATAGAAGAAGAAGAAGAAGAAGAAGAAGAAGAAGAAGAAGAAGAAGAAGAAGAGATCTAGTAACTGCAGCATACACGCGAAGTTTCTTAAATCTGCCTACTGTATGTGATAGTTGCATATTTTCTCTCTGCGCATTTGGTAGTTGCTTGAACTTAGCTAAAAGCAGTATTACGACTATAGGTTTTCTCGGTTGGCAGACCCGCTTTATTTAGGAAACAGGAAACAAAAAGACACTCCTATATTTACAATCAGAAAATGACAGAAGAAAGAGAGCCTTAAAAATTTCGTTAGATCCGGCAGGCTTTTAACTAACTCTGCTACGAAGAACGCTGTCGAGGACCGTATGGGTTTGAGTGTTGTTGAATTAGGGGAACGTGCTGTTTATTCTTACTAGAAGAAGGGCCGACTACAAGAAAATGGCGGACTCAAGTTGAGTTCAATCGAAGATGTAAAGAAAACAAAAGACACAGACATATATATATATATATATATATATATATATATATATATATATATATATATATATTCTCCAGCAAGACATTCATTTCTGTAGTTTACTGCTACCAGCAAGCAGAAATATTTCTTCTCCCGATGATCATAAAATCCAATAAATCCAATAATAAAAAAAAACGAAAGAATACTAATCTACAACCCAGTGTGTCTGAAGATTTTAATTTTTTAACAATTTTTTAATATTCTTTGTTGTTCAATATATATATATATATATATATGTGTGTGTGTGTGTGTGTGTCAATAAATATATGTATTAAACAACAAGATTTACAAGTGACAAAGACATTAACATTTGTGTTTGTGTGTTAACGTAAAGAGTTTGTATTTTGGTGAATGTTCGTACGTACGTGTATGTGTGTTTCATGGCGTTTTGCCATAGGCGGGCAAAACGCGAATTTCTACAAGAGATCCCATTTTTAAATGTGTCCGCTGAAATGCGATGTAGAAAAAAGAACGAGATAAGAAGTCGCCCAGTATTTATAGTGTAGGGACAGCGAACCCTAGTGAACAGTTAGGGAATTAAGGAGGAGTTAACTCCGACAGATTAATGAAGGTTGTATACTGCATTTTAGAACATCCTTTGATTTTAGAGCAAACTGTAATCGTTTTTGTTTGAGGTTAGGAGAGGTTGGTCTCAGTTTTCCGTAAATTGTGTTATACGTTGGGTGGGATCGCCAACTGATGTTATGGATTTTTCTAAGCATATGTTCCATCCAGTTGTCGTTCAAGACGAGCAGATAATGTCCAAGTTTCTCATCCATACAGTAGGACTGGTTCAATTCATGTTACAAAGTTTTGGACTTTTAAAGAGGATGGAAGGTTCCACCGCCAAATCTTGTGAATTTTGATAGCTCTTTCGATAGCTGATATAAAATGTGGGATGTCAAACCTACACCCGAGTGTTTTTTTTTTGCCGAGAGACTATCTCTAGAAAGACTGCTACGTAAGGCTAAAGACTTCTTTCAAGTCATGAAGGGAATTATCCCGGGCCAGACACCGATTTGGAATTTGTATTTATGCGGACTGTCTTAATAAACATAATTAAACTGCTACCCCGTTAATAATAAAAGTCAACTGTCTAATGGATTCGTGGGCTACTTGTCCCGGTGCAGCTGCAATAGTCATCGACATTGAGGATTTCCCGACATTTATTCATTGCACCGTAATTTGTTGAGTAATTATAAGCTGTTGTGCAGATGACTGATCTTTCGTCAAAAGTCAAGTGGCTTTCTTACATAGATTCGGCTGAACTCTGTCCCATTGTGAATTCATTCTTCTCTACCTGAATAAAATACATTTTTACTTACATTAGAAATATAGGGTTCCAAAGCTAATTAATAATTGTTTGTTTGTTTTTTTGTTGTTTTTTTTTTTCTCTTTGTATTTCTTGAATCGGAAAATTTCGTGAAAAATGTATGTCCGGTATTTTTAGAATTTCCGTTAATATGCGAGAGTTTTGCGTATCAATCTCATGACAGGAGAAATGTGTTAACGGTGTCAACATAAAATAATAAATTTGGCGATTTTCATGCAAAAGAGAATCTTTTTTAAAAAATAAATATTTTCTTTTTATGCTTATGCAGAAAGCATATTTCTACTTCGACAAATAGCACTGCCTCTCCTTACATGGACTCATCAGTTTGAAATATCGGTTCCCGTACGATCACCGAAGTTAAGCAACGTCTATCCTGGTCATTACTTTGATGGGTGACCACTTGGGAATATTAGGTTCTGAAAGCATGGATGTGAGGGTGGTGTTGTGGATAATTCCTCGGAATTGTTAATCACTGAGCAGAGTTGCAATTCCAGTCAGGTTCGTGATATTCACTTACGCGGAAGGTATGGATCCATATCTTTCTCCAAGCTTATGGGTTAATTAGTAAAGCTAGAACATTATTATCTCTAAAAAACTGAAAAAAAAAACTTACAATATAACACTATTTTCTCGTTTTAAATAATCTGCAAAGGGTTGATAGATCGTAAAAAACGAATCGATCAATCACTTCCGATTATATTGAAAAATGGTAGACGTTGCTCAGTAAGACGGCCCAATCTTTTTTGCACTAACGTGTTGAACACGGACTCTTCCATTGACAATGAAAGTAGTTGCAAAGATTGTCGAGCAAATAATACCCTTGGGAAAGATATGTATCCTCCTCTTCTCCTTCCATAGCTGGAAGGAGAAGAGGAAGATATATATCTTTTTCAATGATACGCATTGTATCAGTAAATCATTACTATCTCCCCGAAAAAATATTACAATCTAAAAATATTTTCAGGCTATCAATAACCTGCAAAGGTTTTATAAGCGGTAGAAAACTAATCAATCAAGGAATACTGATAATTGCAAACGCCTAAAAAAACTAGATTTGTTCTTATTTCATGCCTCATGTCGCTTCAGGGCGTGGCCAATCATAGGTATGTACAAATTTCTATTCTTTGTAGCTTTAAGCAATGTTCTTCTCCTTACCATCTCTCCCAATCTCTCTTGAATTTTCCCATTGACCTCCTTGTCTTCAGTGAGTTCTGTGAGTGCCAAATATTCCAAGACCTCTTGTTTTCATTTTCTATCACAGATATTCCAAATCTTTCTCATTCAAAATACAAGTGTTGTTTTTAGTTCCTCTTTTTCTTAAAACTTCCATGTTGCCCCCGTGTACAATCCATGGTAATATCAGCTTTCAGTAGAACCACATCTATGTTGCTCCAAGTGACGCTTTTCTTCACTCCTTGGCTATGGCGCTGGGATCAAAGTATATTTTCTGTCCGCTTCATCTCTAATGGTAATGTTAATATTTCCTTAGAAGGAACCAGTCTGCAATCATTGAACAAAACATCTGTTACTACTGTCTGTTGAAATTTATAAAATCTACCTCTAAAAATAATTTTTCAGGAAAATACGTTTCTCAAATTCACTATTATTGCCCTTTCCGTTAGCGATATGGGTTTTCTTCCTAACCTTTTGTTTGAAGAGGTATGTTACGTCAACATGTCATTATTTCTCTTCGAGTTACATGCTCTATTTACTTCAGTTGTTGCTGCTTTTGGCAGTCTTTAAGTGATGTGGTTTCTGTTATTTGGTACAGTTCTTTGATTGTGATTCTTCAGGTTTGAAGAAGGATGGTCCTTGCCAATACCCTAAAGGCTTTAGCACCAGCATACCATTCAGAGCTTTGCTTTAATAAATGGATGGCAGAACAAGGATTAAGAGAGATAAAAAAAGACAAAATTTATCAGGTAAAGTACAAGAATTTGTGGAAAGCCATGATTGCCAAATTCCTGAAGGGATGCAGCACATAGAGGACAGTTTCTCAAGTCCACTATTCTCACCCTTTCCGGTATTGAGGGCAGGGTTTCCTTCCTAATCCTTTGTTTGAATTATATCATAACTTTCTCTTCAATTTACATGTGCTATCCATTTTAGTTATTACTGTTGATGAAAGTGATGTAGTTTCTCAAGTCCAGTAGCTGTTATTGCTCTTTCCATTATTGATTCAGGGTTTTCTTCCTAATCTTTTGCTTGAAGTCATATGGAACGTCAATATTTTCATTATGTCATTATTTTCTCTTCGAGTCACGTGTGCCATACATTTTAGTTGTTGCTGTTGTTGAAAGTCTTTCTATGAAATTATTTTTTTTTTTTGAAAAATACATTTCTCAAGTCCAGTAACTGTTATCGCTCTTTCCAGTACTGATGGCAGTTTCCTTTCTAACCTTTTTCTTCGGAGTAGTGCCGATCATCAACAATCTGATTTTGTCATTTATTTTAGTCGTTGCCGTTGTTGAAAGTCCTCAGCTGATATGCTTTTTGTTATTCGGTACAGACTATTGTTTGGGATTCTTTAACGCCAGTTTAAAGTCGAGGAAGGATGGCCGTACATGCTTCATTAAAACCATTTTTAATCATTTGAGAAAGCGGTTGTATACAGTTTGTAGGTTAGACATTTCATAACCGTTTGCTCTCCATTCATGGCATTCATATATATGTCTAGATTTACGACTGAGTAGTGAGTTGGATCCTCACAGGTTTCGCCAGACTTTTGGTCTTCTGCCACATCTAAGCCACGCTTAGGAAATCACCATATGCATGTCTAGATCTGACGAGGATATTAAAGAACACGTCTCGATCTTTTAGGTTATCGCTTTCTTTTTGTAGCATAGACAATTCTTTCTTCAATTTCCCTATTTCTTATGTTAAATTTGTTATAACTGATCCATATATCCATATCTGATCCATATATCCATATATGATCCATATAACCATATCTGATCCATATATCCATATATGATCCATATATCCGGTACACGTTGACTTTTGTTCAAAACTATCCTTATCCCAACTATAAATACATATGTCATCAGTATACGACCCCCGTGTGGATGCTGTATTTCGATTAGTAAATTAATATGGGATGTGCTTTGGAAAGCTTAAATGATCAGTGTTCATCGCTTCAGATCTGTGCTTGTATATGCACAAACTATTGTCTAGGAACTGATGACTTAGTTCAGTATATTCTGGCTCTATACGCATGTCTAAAGAGGATTCTGGTTACGTAACAATTATGAAGCATTGACAATGACAACCATTTCCCTTTCGCGGGCGAAAAGAAAAGAAATGATTTCGAATGGCTATATACTTACTTTTCAATGAGTCAGTTTTCAATTTCAACGGGATATGCATATATATATATATATATATATATATATATATGAAAGTGAACAGTGAGGTCAAAGATCTGTGTTGAAAAGAAAAGAAATGATTTCGAATGGCTATATACTTACATTTCAATGAGTCAGTTTTCAATTTCAACAGGATATATATATATATATATATATATATATATATATATATATATATATATATACGAAAGTGAACAGTGAGGTCAACGATCTGTGTTGATCGTGTGTTTCCTATTTAAACGCCATTTTCATGATTGTTTCTGTGCATAAAACAGGATTTCACAGCTTGATGTTAACATAAATTTCCACGTTTATATTTGCATACATTCCGTCCTTGATATTAAGCACTTGAACCCCTAAATATAGTATATCTTAAAATATTATTTTTATTATATATATATATATATATATATTATAAAATATATATATATATATATATATATATATATATATTATAAAAATATAGCTTTAAGGTATGCTAAATATATAATCCTAACCGTATCGGTAACCCTAAACAGAATACCTTGAAGAATGGTCATTACCGAGAAACTTCGAAGTCGGGGAAAACAACAACAAAAAATTGATGTTAAAGTTATGTAATCTTTTTATATAATATATATATATATATATATATATATATATATAAAGAAATATAGTCTTAAGGTGTGCTATATTTATGGGATAAAGTGCTCAATATCAGAGATAGAGCGTGTGTAAATATAAAAGTGAACATAGAAGTCAACACTTAGAGGCGACAGTCTGTTTCATGCTATATGCAATCGTCAGGCCACGTGTGCTGTTATTTTTCTCGGCTATTTATATATATACGGGTTAGTGGTGCATTGTGGGTATTCTATTATGGCGGTTATTTTTACCGGAAGTCGCTTTGTTCATTTATTTGGGTCAAGTTATATTGCTCGTTTTTATTTATTTTTTTTATTTTATTTTATTTATTTATTTATTTATTTTTTTTTTTTTTTTGTTTCTTATTTTATTTATTTATTTATTAACGTAGTAAAAATTTGTTTATATCACGTATTTAACAGTTTTGTTTTGGTTTGAGAATTTAATTAAAGCTATTTGTTCAATTTTGAGGTTGGTTGTTGTAGCTATTCTAACTATTATTTTGGCGGGAACAGTTTTTTAATTTGGGATTGGTTTGCCTATTTATTTACTTGGATGAATTTAGGTCAATTTATTTTTATATTTTCTCTTTTTGGTTTTCGGTTTTTAAGCAACATAGTACTTATTTATTTATTTTATTTATTTATTTATTTTTTTTTTTTTTTATTATTATTGTATTTGTTTTTATTTTATTTTTTCCGTTTTTCATTTTTTAGGTTACGTAGTAAAAATTTATTTTCATGCCTGCATTTTGAGATGAGCTCGGATCTTTTATTTAATAATTTATTTTGGTCGGGGAAAGTAATGATAGCTATTTTTTCCTCCAAGCAGAGTTTGCAAGTTTTTGATTGGTTGTTGTAGGCTGATGACTTTTTCCTTATCTTCCAAGATATTTTTGGTGTGATGTGCGTTTTGTTTTTTATTTCCCAGATATACTTAGATATATATATATATATATATATATATATATATATATATATATGTTTGTGTGTGTATGTATTTACAAAGTAGAACGATTAAGCTTTTTATTTAAATTTCGTTATGTTTTCTACTGTGAAAACAATATCTGTAAAATTGTCCAAATATTCTATATATCCGAGCGCTTTCAGCTGTGCTATTTGCCACTATAAAGGATATTTTAAATGTTTTAATTGAATGTTTGTATTTTTATATATATATATATATATATATATATATATATATATATATATATATATATATATAATTTCAAATTTGCGATATATACAGAAGATGATTATTTAAATATAAGCAATATTGACATAAAATTCAATACCACATGTTAACTGCCAGTTTTACGCCTTAAACAATCATCAATTACTTAAGCAGCATCGGTTCGTCGCTCAAGCGCCACGATTCTGTTACCCTATTCGTCTATTCGGTAGTTTAGTCGTTCAAGTTACTTATTCGAT